ATAACAACAACAACAACAAAAATGTAAGAATATTTTATATACAGGTATGCGAAGATAATATTTACAATAATAACCAATAAAAAAATGTGGAGATGCATATGACATGTACGTTAATAATATACAGTGTGTTATTGCGTGAAAATAGCGGTGATGTGGCATCGCATGACAAACAAAAGTAATGAGAATACCGTCATTTAAAATCTTGGTTTGCCAACAATGATAATAATGTGCAGAACTGTTACTAAACCCCAAAAAAAATTGAACTGCTTATTTTTTTGTGTGTACAATAAATGAACGATTTAAATAGAGTTTACTCGTTTATTGTTGTAACAAATTTTTTTTTAAAAATGCGACAAAACAAATAATTGTGAAAAAAAAAGATTAATTATGTACACTGTAAAAAAGGGGAAAAAATCATAGATTTTGTTGAGAAAAATCGGGTGAATATAATGGTGTAGTACATCGATAATTGTTTGTTTAGATTTTTTTATTCGGCGAAATGTACATAGCGTTTGGGTTTTTTTTACAGCTCTGCCTGAGCGCATTAAGCAAGTAGGTTTGATACTTGGTTTTTCCTCCATGTCTGCTCTAGTGGTGGTTGCTGGAAGTGGTTGGTTCAGTGAAGCAGTATGTTCTTTGTCCTGCTGTGCTTCGTAGAAAGCAGGCTTTATTCTATCGATAGCGATAGTCTCTTTCTTTCCACACTTGTTGATTATGAAGTGTTTGTTTGTTCTTTTAATTACTTGATATGGTCTTTCATAAGGTTGTTCCAATGGCTTTTCAACAGCATCAACTCGAACGAGGACAAACTTGCATGTTTCTAGATTTCTGTCGAGTTGTATTCGATTGTTATGTTCACGAGGCGGTATGGCTTTGATCTGTTGCATGGTCTGCAGCAGTTGGCTAGCAAAACGACTTGGGTCCGTTGGTGTTAAAGGGTTTGGGTCCACTAGTTGACCTGGTAATGTAAGGGTTGTACCATAAACTAGCTCAGCGGCTGTACAACCTATATCTTCCTTTATAGTTGAACGGATGCCAAGGACTACAAGTGGTAATGCGTCACTCCATTTCGTCGTATCATCTTGTGCCATCGGCGATCTTTTCAATTGGCGGTGAAATCTTTCGACCAAGCCGTTAGCTGCTGGGTGGTAGGCTGTCGTTTTAATGTGATCTACACCCAGACGTCTTGTGAATTCCTGAAATTAGATAGACTGAAACTGGGGACCACGGTCGGTAGTGACGATGGAAGGTACTCCGTAATTTGCTATCCAACGGTCAAGGAATACGCCGGCTACTGTTTTCTGCGGAAGTATCAGCAATAGAGCATGCTATCGCCCATCTGGCGAATCTGTCCACTGCAGTGAGGATGTGTGTGAATGAATTAGATGATGGCAATGGACCAACTATGTCTAAATGTATATGTTGAAAACGTTTTTCCGGCAGGGGATACTTGCCAAATGGACTGATCGTGTGCTTCTGAATCTTGCTGCGCTGACATTGTAGGCAGCTTCGCGTCCATCGTTTTATATTTGAATTGATCTTTGGCCACACAAAACGCTCAGTAATCAATTTGGTTGTGACTTTGATTCCTGGGTGAGAAAGGTCATGCAGTTGACGAAATACTTGTCGACGACAGGCTAGAGGGATGAAAGGGTGGTTGTTACCCGTTGAAACGTCGCAAATGATAGATGTGTTAGAGAGAGGTATAGGTACGTGTTTGAATATCAAGTTAGACTTCTCCTGACAGCTTTTTATTCCTGCGTCCTCTACTTGCAATTTTGCGATTGTTTCCAAATCGATATCTTGATTACATACCAGAGTATTTACATGCTTTCTTGATAAAGCGTCTGCTACGACATTGGTATGTCCTTTGACATATTGGATATCTGTTGTAAATTGGGAAATGTAATCCAGTTGTCTTGCTTCGCGAGGTGAGTGTCGATCGTACGAAGTGTTGTTCTTACCTTAAACCTACCCTGGTAATATTGACTTATTATCCGAAGTGATTAGGTTTCGCTTTGTGTTCACATTATTATTATTATTACTCTTATCATTATCCTTATATCCTCTTACCCCGTTTTTTGTCTAGTTGTCCTTTTATTTTTATATATAAATGCTCTTAACAAGTATATGTGTGACCAGATTGTTCGAAATGTATTGCGCCAATATATCACATAGTTCTGATAATCTTCGTCTTCTAATATCATTATCGAAATTTATCAAAGGGACTAATTGTTTTAAATAAAGGTTTGTGATCAGTCATTATAGTGAAAGTTCGACCTTGTAATAAGAAGTTGAAATGCTTGACAGCTAAGTAGATGGCTAGTAACTCCCGGCCGAAAGTACTATAGCGTTCCTTAGTTGGTGACAGTCTTTTGGAGAAAAACGCAATGGGAGTAGTCATGTTGTTTACTTGTTGTTGTAATACTGCCGCGACGAAGTTTTGAGATGCATCTGTGCACAAAATTAAGTGGGTTGTGGGGTCAGTATTTAGATGTTGTAGCATGGTGGCATTAGCTATCATCGACTTTGATTTTTCAAATGCTGTTTTTGCGTCAAGAGATAGGTTGAATGTTTGATTCTTCTCTTTCTTCATACCGTTTTTGTCGGCTTCCAGCAAATCGGTTAGTGGTTGTAGCACCTCAGCACAACGTGGTAAGAATCGGCGATAGAAATTACACGTACCGAGGAAACGTCGTAATGACTTCACAGAGGTTGGTTCGGGTAGTTAGTGATAGCTTCAACTTTCTTCTGAAGTGGTTTGATACCTTGTGAGTCGATGTAATGTCCCAAAGACTCTAAGGCTGGGACTACGAATATGCATTTCGAAGGATTGATGACAATGCCATGGTTTTTAAAACGATCAAAAAGTATCTGGACATGTTGGATGTGCTCTTCTAAAGATGAGCTTGCAATCAGAACATCATCTATATAGGCAAACACGAAATCTAGGCCTCTTGTAACGTCATCCATGAAGCGCTGGAATGTCTGAGCAGCGTTTTTCAGTCCAAATGGCATCCTTAGAAACTCAAACAAACCAAAAGTGTAATCATAGCTGTTTTTCAATGTCTTCTGGTGCCATCGGAATTCGGTCATATGCTCGCACTTGGTCGAGCTTCGAAAAAATGCATTTACCGTGTAGGTTTAATGAAAAATCGTGTATATGTGGAATCGGGTACTTATCGGGGATGATTTGATTGTTCAGTCGGCGATAGTCACCACACGGACGCCAGTCTTGATCTTTTTTCGGTACCATGTGTAGTGGTGAAGCCCGAGGGCTGTTGGATGGCCTGATAATACCAAGTTGCATCATATGCTCAAATTCTCTTTTAGCTACTTGCAACTTGCTTGGCGGTAGTCTCCTCGCCCTGGCGCTAATAGGGGGACCGGTGGTAATGATGTGGTGTTGTACCTGATGTGGGTTACATTCCTTTTGATAATCTGATTTTGTGATGCACTCGTATTCTGACAGGATGTCGTTGAAAACGTTGTTCGCAGGCTTCATTATTCGTACACCGTGGATTTCATAGTCGTTGGAAAATGTACCATCTACCTGTAAACGTGTATTTGCATCGATCAATCTCTTTTTAGTCATATCTACTAACGAATTGTAGGTACTGAGGAAATCAGCTCCGAGGATGGGTCAGTTGACTTGGGCAACTATGAAAACTCATGTGAATCGTCTTCTGAGTCCGAGGTCTGATATAAGAGATTGCTCTCCGTAAGTTTTGATGATTGATTCGTTAGCTGCTATGAGTGACAGCTTTGTGCTTGTTGTTTTTTGCCTTCGGGAAAGGTGAAGTGTGATAATGCTGATTTCTGCTCCTGTATCGACTAAAAAGTTCGAGCCAGAAATGCGATCCCTGATGTGAAAGAGGCGTCTAACTTGTTGGCCAGTAACAGACGCCGCCATTACTGTCTGGCCGACTCGTTTCCCTGATGGTCTGGCTTGTTTGTCGTGAAGTTGCACGGTTTAGTGCAACGACGTGCTTTCTCTCTATAATTCGAGTGATACCAACAAATGTCAGCTGCCCGTTTGGGTGACCTAGGGTGAGGTCTGGACCCTGATCGTGTTCTCGAGATCGGTCTGGCAGGACGAGTGTGGATCATGGCAATGGTCGCCTGCAACGATGCTACTTGCTGAGTTAAGTGTGCTATTTGCTGCTGAACGTCCAGTGGGGGTTTATAGCATTTTTACTAGAGGTTTGTACCGCGTTGATTCCGCGACTATCGGGATATATTTCCATCATCTTATCAGCCATGTCAGCTAAATCGTCGAGGGTTACAGAGCTTATGCTGATGATGTCGTTCAGGAGAACGATGAAGGCTTCATGACCAAACCATACAGCTCAAGGAACAAAACACTCTGTTGAATATTTTTCATCTGATAGTTGAGCCAACAAACGTTTCTGTCAGACCCATTCAAAGAAACAACTTCGGTTAATCTCAGAATAAATAAAATATAAGTATGGAGTTTGAATCCCTTGTGGAGTGGTATTTTAGTGATCGTAGCGTTCGACTTCCAGCTACTAAACCGAAGGTTCAAAGTCCTCTTTAAATACTTTGTTGAAACGATTGAGGATTATGGTTGGACATCGCGCTTACACGGTGGCTCACACCCAAGCACCTGGTGAATGAGTTGAGAAGTGGCAGTTCAGAACAGACGACAGTATAGATCTATGTTAAAATGACACTTTACTGAATTCAAACTTTTAATGGTCTTCACTGCAATGTTATTCTGTGATAGAGAAATAATCTTAAACTTCAATTAACCATTGAAAATAAAAGTCAAAATTCAATTGGTCAATATAATACTCAAAATCAATTGGTTCAATGTCTCAATTAGAATGTCAATTAAATAATAAACACCCGATTCTTCAACGTCTATTTTTGTCATTGTTACCGTTGTTACCATTGTGTTTTATAAACAAAAGTAATGCGTAGTCGAATGTTTTCCAAGAGGAAATCATCGTTCAGAATCTATTATGCAATTCTGAAAGCATTTGGATTAACACTTTGTATAATTTTCATATTACAAATATATTTTATGCGTACAACTGTCAAATATGTTATCTTACGAAATCACACTGAAGAAGCAATTATTGTACCCAATATGGCACATATTGACTGCAAACGAACATGTCGTACTATTTGTAAGAATATTGACAGCATTCCATCGAGTAAAGTGAGTGCATTGAAACCAATTGGAAAAATGCCATTCAATGGTGAATTCAATAAAGAAGTGAACCCAATCAACGACACATTTTATTCACATGATCTTGGTGGCGGTTGGATGTTTAAGGAGGAGACGACGAATTGCAGCAGCGTTCCACAATCCGGTACAGCAATCATCATTGTTTGTAGAGATAGATGGATACAACTGAATATTACACTGTCCGCTCTGATTCCAGTTCTCCAGAGACAACATTTGTGTTATCAAATATTTGTTATTGAACAACAGGGCACTGGTATTTTGAACAAAGCTCAGTTGATGAACATTGGTTTTATTGAAGCACGTAAGCGTTTCGATTTCGACTGTGTTATATTTCATGATGCCGACTTAATACCATTGGATGATAGAATACCACATGGTTGTGATGAAGAGACGATGGAGAGTGTGGTTCATTTGAGTGTTGGAGTGAGTTCATGGAATTATGTTTTACCTTACAAATCATTGATCGGTGGTGTTTTGAAAATATCGACTTCACACTTTATACAGGTTAATGGTTATTCGAATGTTTATTGGGGTTGGGGTGGAGAGGATGATGATTTGGAGAGGCGACTGAAAGCATCAAATATTATGTATAAACACATCAAAAATTCAATAGGCAGATATCTGGCTCAACCTCACCCTAAACAGGTTCGTGGGAACGCATATATTATAGATAATTTAATAAAATATGCTGCCAGTCGTATGTTCACTGATGGATTGAATTCTGTAAAATATAAAATTTCAACCTATTTTGAGAAGCAACACTACACACATTTTTTGATTGCATTAAAATAAGTTTTTTAAAGATTCAATTGCCTGTTTTTCTTACCCTTAAATATTGTATAACCTAGTTCTTTACAATATGAGACAAAACTATTTTTAAATTGAATGATACTTTTATTTAAGTATAGAAATAATCAAGAAAGATAGCACTGATGTAGTCTCCAGTTCAACATTGTTATATGCACAGTCAAACGTGTATAATATTCACAAATGCACAGAAAATTACATCCATATGCAGATAAGTTTGTATCATTGATGGATCGAATAAAAGAATTTCTATTCGCTATTCATCATAGTGATTTGTACATTATTCATTTCTGTTGTCTATGTGTTTAGTTTTCGGTATGTACTTTCAAACAATATTTCAATTAATTACTTAACCATCTTTTGAAACATTTAATTATATATATATGTCCTAGACACTTAGCAATTGTCCAATAAGAATATATGTAATGATAACTCATATATAATTCCCAGTAGTCACCATTCATTTATTCTTCATTCGCATGTAATATATGTTCAGCATGATATGCAGCATGTGATTTCTTATGATTCTGAACAGTTTCCATACATGTGACTTTTCCCTAATTACTAATCAGATGGGTGTACAAATCAGTATATAATTGAGTGTATTTTCGACTAGAGTCGTCGTTGTGTTTTTCGGGTGAATAAATCTTCACTTGTATCAGTGTTGTGTGTTGTTATTTGGTGTCGTAGAAATTGAATTGGCTCCTCATTTTCGCCGTATAAGTAATTGGCGATGCAGATATAACGTATACCAATCTACACTTGATAAATAAGTTACATCAAGTCGTTTACTTGCATGTGACAAATGTGATGGTCAATTACAATTCGCTTTTCTGCATGATCCTTGTATCATATAGCCTGTACGGATTCATGTGGATCCGAGCTGGTAACCGGAATCTATCTGTGCGAACTTCTTTGAGGGCGGCAGCCGTCATTTGTGAGGAAGTGGAGGTGATTTTCGTTAGTCGAGGTCTAGAATTCTTTCCTTTTTTTGACTGATTGCACCACATGTTATGCCAACATATATTCTGACATCTTCTGATTTCAGCAAGTGGTCGGCCAGCAAAATATCATTATATGGGCAGCGTTGGAAAACGTTACACGAAGAAATCTCTGGTGATCTTGGTGTCTGAAATCTTTCCTCTCGAGAAAGCCATTTTACCATTAGTGGCTCAAGTTCCGTAAGTCTGAGATTCCTGTTCAAATCATTCTACAACATTCTGTCAATATTTTCCTGCAGACTGACAAGAACATTCGAGCTGATTTTGAGGCTCATGATTATGAGAGTCGTCTGGAACCATGATCGTTCTCCCAGATTTTTGTTTACGATGAATTTGTCGTCCTTTTCGTTTGAAAGATGGATCTGGTCTCGGATTTCCATGTTTTTTGTTGACTGTTTGGGTAACCTTAGTGGAGGATTGCACGGCCGATTGACTAGCTAATTATTCTTTAAAACCTAAGCTGTTCGGGACATTCGCCGGTAACACTCGATCATCTTTAACCCTGTTGACGAGGTCCGGTAGCCTGCATAAATTTTACGGATAGCAGTTGCATTTAGGGAGCCTATGTTGGGGGACAAAATTTTCTGAATTAGCCCAACACCGTCGATGGCATGGTGATGCTAATTTTCCGTCGATACCAATTTTGCTGAAGACCCTTTTCATTGGCTCACTGCACGCTATTGTTTGTCTGTGACAAGACTAACTTTATTCACGTTTTCTAACAACATTTTCCCCAGACCTGACAAAAGAATAATGATGTTACTCGGAAGATCCACAGAATTCACATTGCCTATGCCGCATGCCCATTCTGATCTGACCTACTAAGGCTATCGTTAACAGTGTCTGCGAGATTTGTGCATGTTTCGTGAAAAACACCTCTGCAATTTTCACAGTGGCTTCCATGGGTGACAGCAAAATGGCATTCAGGTCGCTTACGCGTGTTCTTCATAGCCATGGTGCAATGTGAATTGATAGACAGATCCTAGCATAAGTTTACGACCGTAAAACTAAAAAAGCAACACACTCAAAAACGAATTAAGCGTGTAAAAATGGGTAGCATGAAAGTTAAGCTATATCGAAACTTGCCTCAATGTGGAAGACTGTAAAAATTGAGTGGTAAACTGATGCAAAACCACCATTAGCCACTAATTCGGACAAAACTCAAAAAAGGAAAGTAATCCATCAGGCATTAAGCTCATGACAGATTCTATAGATCAAAAACGGTACTTTTGTTGCGTTAGGGCACAACAAGAGTTTTGGAAATGCATATCACGTTAGGTCTAAATTTTGCGGTCGTAAATCGCGTGTAATGTAAACGCAAAGTAAGCTGGAGTTAATCTAGGTACATGTCAAACTAATGATGGCGTTCACATCAACTGAATCTTTCTCCTTGATCACATGATAACCAATACCTCTGCAGACATATTCAGATGAAATTTGAGTGAACTGGAAGATGTCAACAACCAGGCCTTCGGGTAGTTTATCGATATTATTTGGTATTAAGACGGACATGCACTAGGTTAGATATCATTATGTTCACGATAGTTTACGCCACCTTAGTGAGAACTAGACTTGAAAACTGCGAGCCTCTGTTTGAAAGGTGACTAGGATATTTTGGAAAAAGTGCTAGTGGTAGACAACCTGTAACTTCTCTGTTACTCATTTTTCAGAATCCTGCTGTGAGAGAATAGCTATGGACCTTCTGAAGTCTGAACAAACTTGACGTACGCGTTTTCTTAAGGTCATAGTTTACACCAAGCGCTCAACAAATCTACCTTGTAACAACCATAAACTTAAAACGTTGTATTGTATAAATACTTGACGCGACCAAAATTCTGATACAATCATGCCCAGATTGGATCTGGTGTGTAAAGTGGACGCGATGCCACATTGAGAAATATTTTGGAGATTTTACTCAGTGTAGCAGTAAAGCATAAACGTAACCATTAACGCTCCAAGACATCTACACGAATGCAATGTTATTCACTTTTATTGATTTTATCTATTTAACAAACCTACTTGGGAGGCATAGTGTCAGCCAAAAGTGTTGCAGTTTGTAGATCATGCCTGTAAAAATGATGTGTACCTGCCCTGGCAGAGATATATTATTATTATCTGTGTTTTCGGTGGCATATGTCGAGGGAGTTGAAAACGAGGGTAAGAAAACGAGTGGATGAGAAGCAAAGCAGACAATGTTCATGCACATTGAAATTGAGTCTGTAGCGGTAAATAAATACCCAAAATAAATTGCTATGTAAGTTTTCGACATCGGATGCTGACCACATGTTTTAATGGACTCACCTAGCTGAAGGCGCTCGGTCATGCATTCACACCAGATCACGAGTGGGAACAACGTGCTCAACATCTACTGCAATCGCTAGCCAGATTAGATCAGACGATTCTCGATATATTGATTTCACATCAAATATATTTTCGAAAACTCCGCCTGGAGTCCGTCCGGGGGCTACTGCCGGTCCCAAGCCTGGATAAAGGAGGAGGGCTGCGCATGTATTTAGCGTCCCCATCCAGTAGAAAACTAACTCGCTATAAAACACTAACCAGAAAAAATTATTCAAACCTCATAAACTCTGCCCCGGGAGTCAGAAGGTCTTCATTTAGAAGAACTATGACGCCTCATGATGAAAGCCGAATCCCTTCGAACGTTAGGAGGCCGATGCCCCTTCTGACAACCAGAGCGACCATTTATTTATGTACATGGAATGTTCGTACAATGTGGGACACCGGAAGAGCCTTCCAAATTGCAGCAGAAATGAGATGATACAACCTAGAGGTGCTTGGGATCAGTGAAACACATTGGACGCAAGTTGAACAACAACGACTAACTTCAGGAAAGCTGTTATACTCCGGCCATGAAGAAGAAAATGTTCCACATACACAAGGAGTTGCACTGATGTTGTCCAAACAAGCGCAAAATGCGCATATAGGATGAGAATCTCATGAACCAAGGATCATCAAAGCCTCGTTCAAACAAAAAAGGAGAGCATTACAATGAATATCATCCAAGTCTATGCGCCTACCAACGACTACAATGAAGACGATAAAGATCAATTCTACCATAGGCTGCAGTCAATCGTCGAGAAGTGCCAAACAAAGGACTTGACCATTCTGATGGGAGACCTAAATGCCAAGATTGGAACGGACAACACTGGATATGAAGACATCATGGGACGACATGGACTGCGAGAAAGGAACGAAAATGGTGAGAGATTTGCAAACCTATGTGACTCCAATAAACTGGTCATAGACGGCACCATATTCCCACACAAACGCATTCACAAAACCACATGGACTTCACCGGATCACACCACGCAAAACCAAATCGACCATATTTGCATCAACAAAACGTTCAGGGAGACTATAAAGGACGTGAGAACCACGAGAGGAGCCGATATAGCATCAGATCATCATTTGCTGGTCGCCAAGATGAAATTGAAACTCAAGAAGCACTGGACAATGGGGCGGACAATATCACAAAAGTTCAATACGGCCTTTCTTCAGGATACTAACAAACTCAACAAATTCAAATTAGTCCTCAGCAACAAGTTCCAGGCCTTTCATGATCTACTCAATGGAGAAGGAACGACTGTGGAGAGCAACTGGAAGGGGATCAAAGAGGCAATCACTTCAACATGTCATGAGGTCCTGGGTCATAAGAAGCACCATCACAAGGAATGGATCACTGTTGATACACTGGATAAGATTCAAGAAAGGAGAAACAATCAATAACAGTCGAACAAGAGTAGAAAAAGGCAAGGCACAAGCTGAATACACAATGGTAAACAAACAAGTGAAGAAGAGCATCAGAACTGACAAACG